CCACCCAATGTGTGGAAACTTTCACAGCAGTTCTAGGAAATTAATACCTCCCGCAGCTCCTTTTCCCAGACACCACCCCAACTCAGGCATTGCTCAAACACTAAAAAAATAAAATAAATAAAAAATAAACCCTAAAATGTGACGCATGTGAGTATTCTGTCTGTCTAAAAAAAAAAGCTCACTTAAATTTTTCCATAATAATGCCTTTTTTTTGGTTCTTTATCTTGTTTTTTTGTGTGTCAAGAAACCTTATGACCACATACAAGCTGATAAGAATTAAAAGAAGACACTGTCCTCATCTATGCAACAGCAGCAACTCCTTTTAAAAATATTTATCCCAGACAGGTGGTCATTCCTGTCCATCACCCATACCACGCTTGTCATTTCTTTCCAGACTGCAGGCACTCTCCGATGTGGTCTGGGAAGAAACCCACATCTACACAGGGGCTAAAGTGGAGGATTATTCTCGAAGGTGTGATCTTTTATTGTCAACATCTGAAACATTATTCTCTCATAAATGAAATCCCCATTGGGGTTCAAATGGACTAAGAGAAACAACAGTGGGACAAAAACATGGATGGAAGCTGCTGTGGGAATCCCAAAACTGAGGGTAGGTTTTACTGATGGTGTGTATTCGTTTCACAGAATGCTTATTCCACCCTGTTAAATTCCTTTTGATCAGGGATCATTTTCTTAGAGCCCCAATGACTCCTGCGTAGGAAGTTACTGTAGGGATAACCCGGAGCTGGGCTAAAAATAGAACCAAGAGTAAATTTGCCCCAAGAGTCTCTCTTCGGGTGAGATGATACAATGACAGCTCATCGGAGCATTTACAACCAGAAGTGGCACTCCTGGGGGTGGACGCAGAAGGGATGATCTGATCACCTCTCAGCAGCTCTGCCTCACAGGTTAATACCCAAACTTGAAAAACATAACAAATTGCATGCAATCTTTTAGGCAGCAAGCAGGTAGTCTCTTAGGGAAGGGATGCCATGAAAACAAAACTAAGACACATTTCTCATCCGTAGGGAAAGACACATGAGTCAGCTAAACAGTGCAAAACTATGTGTTACCACTAGCATCAAGGTGCTCCCGGCCTAGCCAGCCCCAGGGAATCCCAGAGCACAGCAATGGGAGTGAGAGAGGACACGGAGTGGATGCTGGTGCTGCCATGTACCATTCTGTGGACTCCGCTGTCCTCAGCACCTGACTCTTCCTCCCCATACCCCTCGACCACAACAACTAAACCCCAACATAACTCCCCTGCTATTGACACATAGCTTCCTTGGAGTGAAGCATCCACAAGCCAAGGAACACCAAGGACTGTCGGCCATCACCTGGAGCTAGCCATCCAACAAGTAATTACTGAGTACCCACCAAGTGCCAGGTGCCAAGATAGGCACCTGGGTCCTTCTGAGCTAGGTCTGGTGGCCCGTTTATCCTGGGCCGCAAATTCACGATGGGTTGATAATGTAGATTATTTATGTTCTTTCCAAAGGATATCATGTAGACAGTCACAGAGATACACTTACAGGATTAAATTTCAAAGCATATTACACTTTTTTTTATAACCCTGCTTTGGCAATTAAGTACATATACAAGTTGCCCAACTCCTCAGCCACACATCATCCATGATAGTAGTCCCGGTCTCTCCTGATCTCTTTGGGGTCTGCTGGGCACTCGAGAGGGTGCAGCAAACAAGCCAGTCGTTGCCCTTGCACTCACAGAACTTAGTGTTTAGGGTGGGGACAGACATCAAATGTCTGTCTTAACTACATCAAATGTCCTTCTTAACTACATCAAATGTAGTTAAACTGACACCTGTAGCTATTGCCCAGAGGACAGAGCATGAGCAGAGGCTGAGTTGGCAAGCCAGGCTTTCATGTATCTGACATGTTTGAATTTTTACAAGAACATATCCAGGTATTACTTGTGTAGTCATTATACGTGTCTATGTCCTGTACATCACTGAGAGAGGGAGAGCCAAAAAGGCGGCCACAGGAGAGGCTAGTCCCAAGGGAGGAAGCAGGAGGAATGAGAGAAACACCTACCAGCAGTAATGGAGTACCAGGGTGCGCCTCCAGGGTGGCTCTGGCACTAACAGAGCTGCTCACAACTCTGTGGTGGCTGTTGTCCCCATGTCCTGTGGGAAGCACCAACAGACACGGACACAGGCATCCCATCTCTGAGCTCTCTGCTGGGCCCCATCACCTACTGACCCCAAATGGAATGACTTACGCTCCAATACTGAGTAACATGGATGATCAACATGTTACTCCCGAGTGCTGGATTAAAATTTGCCTTTCCATGAAAAGCAATGAATCTTACCCGCAGATGCCAAATGCCCCTGAGCTGAATTAGTTATCTCGTCTAGACTGAAGTGTCTCATGGATATTTTTTCAAACAAATCGTATCCTGCCCACTACTATTCACCGTGTGATCCACATGTGCTTCCCACAGTTCCATCAACAACAGGGCAACCTTGCCAACCAGCCTCCCCTCAGAGGAAAGCTTTACATTTATATTAATGTAAATAATAAGACATCACTAGAGAAATGAAAACAGAGGTCAGAGAAACAGTAGCCATGTCCACACATAGCCCACTGTGACTGGCTGGGCAGTTGTGACAGATTTTGACAAGAACATTTCCTTACACTGTGTTTCTTTCAATTTTATGATTATACCAGAAGCCTGATGCACAAAGATTTATGCAAGAATAGGCCTTCCTTCCCCTGGCTGCCAGCACTGCCTTTGTTCCAGCCCAGAGTTGCCTTTCCACCTTCCCACACTGCCCAGAGGCCCAGAGCAGCTGGGGCAGTGTGGAAGCATCCACTTCCTGCCACCACCTGTGTATGCAAATTAACCTGCCATCTTTTTTATTACTTTGAATACTCACTCCTGATTGGCTGGTGGGCATCATGAAGGTACAGTCAATTTGCATCTTTCTCTTTTATTAGTGTAGATTTTGAGATATATTCAGAGGAGATGGCTTTGACGGAACAGAGGTCTGACTAAAGACTGATAATCCAATAATGCTTCTGATCAGAGCCACTGTGTAAGCGTGTGTGCATGTGTGTGTGTGTGTGTGTACTATTTTGTGTTAACATGGCAAGTTCCCCTTTTGGAGTGCACATGGTTGTTGTGGATATGTACACAGTAAAGCTGGTGCAGAGAAACACAATTGAATGCACCTGTGCACCAGGGGGACGGCTAGCAGAGGACAAGCTTCCTGCAGAGAACTTCAAGTCTGACTTCCGCTTTATAGGTCAGTGGGAGCTTGCATGGTGGAGAGGTAAAATTGTGGAATAAACATTGAATGCTCTTATAGGTACATCCCAAATATTGCACGGGTGTTCCATGTTTTTATTTGCTAAATCAGGCCATACTGACAATGGGAAAGATATGCATGTCAATCATCTTTTCTTCTTTGTCATGAATATTGTCAACATCAGCATCAGTTAACATTTATGGAACTTGGGGAATGAGGTCCTTGCTCCAGGGAGGGCCTATCCATGACTCCTGCTCCCTGAAACACTTGAGCATGCCTGTTTGCTCCATCACGGACCCCTGAAGGTCCTGGACTCCACCTTACCCCTCCTTCTTCAAGTCCTTGCCCAGTGACTGGCATGTGCTAGGTGCTAAAACCACAGTTTGCAATAAATAAGGATATGATGTGGAATGTCTATAAAAGCAGAAAATTTGGGGTGAAGAGAATAAAATGACAAAACTGTACATGGAAGTACAGGGAATGTAAAGATGGTTAACAACAGCCATAAGTTAGAAGTTGTTACGTGAGGTATACAAGGTGTTGCCCTCAGATGTGCTTTGCACCTTACAGAGACTATGTGAGTAATTAAAAATATATGTGTGTATTCATATGAATATATATGTTTTTTAATGAAAAGTTTTAAGAATAGTATATTGAATTATCTTGTATTCTATGTTCAGCTGAATTGAAACCGAGTCTTATTAGATGGAAGCACTGGTTCAGTTTTAAGTAAAAAAAAGAATACTCAGAGAATATCAACATTTTCTACCCCAGCCAGTTGCTCAGTGGTTAGAGCATCTGCCCTCAAACTAAAGGGTGGCAGCTTGATTACAGTCAAGGCTCCATCCAGTTCCTGTCAGGGCACATGTGGGAAGGAGGCAACCAATCGATGTGTCTCTCACACTGATGTTTCTCTCTTCCTCTCTGTCTCTCCGACCTCCCTTCCACTCTCTCTAAAAAATCAATTGGGGGGGGTGGGAGTGAAATATCCTCAGGTGAGGGTTAACAACAACAACAAAAGAATATCAATATTTTCTGCTCTAGTTGGTTTGGCTCAGTGGATAGAGTGACAGCCTGTGGATTGAAGGGTCCCAGGTTGGATTCCAGTCAAGAGCATGTACCTTGGTTGCAAGCACATCCCCAGTAGGGGGTGTACAGGAGGCAGCTGATCTATTGTATGTTTCTCTCTCATCAATGCTTCTAACTCTCTATCCCTCTCCCTTCCTGACTGTAAAAATCAATAATATATATATATATATATATATATATATATATATTCTTTTATATATATATAAAAGAATATCAACATTTTCTAAATGCAACAGAAAACCCAGCCGGCTTAGTCCTTTATTTGATAAGTGCCATGATCAACTGACCAACTGTTGTTGTTGTTTTTTTAATCTTTTGTGAGGCCTGGAAAAATCAAGTAAAAACAGAAAATATCCAAATCTAGAAGCTTAATTTTACAAGATTAGCCTTATAACCAAATAATCACAGTCACCTGGTCAATGCCTATGATTAACTAAATTCTTGGAGGATCCCTTTCTCTTATGTCATAGTGTTGGGTGAGTGTATAGAAACACAGCCCTCAGTTCTTTCGCAAACACTCTGCATCAGTCTTGTTACTTCAGTTCTATAGTGCTGGGATGGATCATCCGGGCTTCTAGGAATTTCCAAAGTCAATGTAGTCATCCAAAGTAAAAAAAAAAAAAAAGAAAAAAAAAAAAAAAAAAGACACAGAGGGAAAGGAGAGAGGACGAAACCCGAAGAACCATACAATGACAAGTCAGAAAACTCCTCCCCACCGAAGATATTCTGGTGTATAAAAGGTATACTAAGGCATTCGGAAGACCCAGCACAGCGTTGTGAATCGTGAATACAGCGAATCGTTTGGCTTAGAAGGAAAATGAACACCAAGCCAGAGGTGATTCGGAAGTGTGTGTGGCCTACGTGCCTCATAGGCCTGTTCGTCACCGGCACCCTCTCTCTGAGCTGTGACTTGCTGCATATTCATCTGCGTAGAATCACCAGGCACAATGTGATGCTTCTGACCAATATAAGCAAATCATTTCCTCTGCGGTGCCTACGGGAAAACAGAGCTTTCAAGTTGCCCCGAGAGGTCCTATTCCATACCCAGCCTCTTCTGAAAAGAGACATCCAGGGGGCCTTCTATGAGATGGCCATGCTGACCTTCAGCATCTTCACTCAACCCGCCTTCCTGTCCACATGGGAAGAGGAACACCTGGAACAAATCCAAACCGGACTTCACTGGCAGCTGCAGTACCTGGAACAATGCTTGCAAGAAGAGCAGGGACGTGAAGATGAGGAAGAGATGGAGGAGGATGAGAGGGGACACCCTGGACTTAGGACCCCCCGGCCCAGCAAGTTAGAACTGAGGAGGTATTTCCACAGGATAAGCACTTTCTTGCAGGACAAGCAGTACAGTCACTGCGCCTGGAAGATCGTCCAACTGGAAGTCAAAAGATGTTTCTACTACTTCCAGAAACTCATAGAACTAACAAGCAGGAAATAAGGTAGATCTCTTTTTTTTTTTTTTTTTTTTTTTTTTAAACTAACATTTTGTTTCTCTCCAAAATCTCCTCCCCCTTTATTGGCTTTTAAGAATCCCTGGGCTATTCTCTCAGCCTGCTCTCGGCTGGATTGGTGGTGGCATCTGTAATGTTGACTGTCTCTCAAGTTTGGCCTTGCAACACCAGCCACATTCACCTCTCTGAGAGAGGCAATGCCCACCGTCCTCGGGGTGGCTAAGAGTCTCGTGACAAAGTTTTAAAGGAATGCTCTTCCCTCTCCATCTCCTGCTCTCCACTCCTCTCTCCTTTTTCTGTGTTGTACGTGCTTTGAATCTCACCTTTCAACTTCACCAAGCCAATGGCTAGAGAGCATGGGTCAGAGAATGTCTGAAAATGGATCACCTCAAGGACTGAGCCCTCTTGCTGTCCAGGTTGTTTAGTCTGAAGTTCAACTTGTTTAAAGAGCTTATACAAACTTCCATAATTAAAACCCTCCCTTTCTCTTCCTGCTCTCAAAAAGAAAAAAAAGAAAGAAGAAAGGTTGACATTTCTGGCCCATTTGTTTCTCAGCTTGGTTTATTTGAAATGATATGAAGTTTGTAGGAGAGTGAAGATCCACTCTCTCGTATTGGATGGTTGAATTAGATGAACATTAAGATCTGGTTTAACCTTTGAGAGCCCATGACTCGAATGCAGACAGCGCTGTTCATTCTTAATGCATATTATTTCACTTCTACATTTAAAGGGGCAGAAAACAATACAGAAAAGTGTAGTATTTGACTTCATTGTTTTGTGTGTCTGAAATGAAAGGCCCACAGTCATACTCTGGAAGAATTTCATATTGTATTTTCCCAATTAGAAGATCACTTTCTCCGTGTTAAGTAAATTATTCTAATAATACATGACATTTTAATATATTTTATCTCTCTAGAAGTTATTTTGTACCCAGATTTACCTAGATTATTTATTTAATTTTTCTTATGTGGTTTCTCATCTATATTAATCTACCATCTAACTGACATGAACTTTCTCTTCCTTTCTCCTCCAACCCATTTCAGAATCCTCTGTCTACCTTCAAGCAAGAACCAGCATCAAGGTTGCAGCTACACAAATTCACAAAGAGGGTAAAAAGAACCTGGTTCAGCCCCCGGGAGAGACCTCCTGCTATTTGTTGTAACAGGGTGCTGCCAAATTGCTTAGATTCAAGATTCATCCACGTATAGGACTCAAACAGTATAGCCAAATGGGAAGTCTTATGCTAAAACTGAGGCAAATTTCAGTCAAAAAGAATAACTAAAGGAACAAGTTGTGGATCATGGTTGCTGGTTATCAGTGGAAGGAGCAGACCATAAAATGAGTTAGTAACATCCACTCAGTAAAACATCTTATCAACAGAATCGTTCTATTAAAAACAAAACAAAAACAAAAACAAAACAAAAAACACAATAGTACTGCAAGCATCAAAGTAGTTGGGTGTGCAAGCTACTAATCAGAAAGTATACACTTGGGTTTTCCATGAATTTCTCTAACAATGCCTTTGCATGGCCTTCCTAATGACTCTATTGGGATCATGTCAGTCACTTTAGTAATTGATGTTCGCAGTCTTGCCAAATGCTTGCTGTACAAGAGGGAAGAGAATTGGCACTTCAAGTCAATACAGATCGTGTGGGCAGGGACAGAAATCAGAACAGAATGCTTTTGCAAAGAGCACCACTAGATGGAAAACAAAACAAAACAAAACAAAACACCCCAAGGCCACTGAAAAACAGGTGAGGACACACTCTAAGGAAGAAACACTCACAGATAGTGTGTTTCATCTCATTTATGATTTTAAAAAATGCAAAAGGAGAACAGTAAGACACTTCCTTCCCATCTGTCTGGCAGAGATGGAAAAGAATACTACAGAGTGTGAGAGGGGAAAATCCTCTGTCTGTTGTTGGGGAGAGGGTCAGTTGGCACAAGTTCCTCCAGGACAATAAGTCAATCAAATACCCTAAAAAGGCAGCAACTCCTTTGACCTAGCTCTCCTATCTCCAGAAATTTACTCCAAGGAAATCACTGGAGAAGACTGTTCACTGGAGCCTTCTTTATAACATTTCTGCTCCCTTTGGTTTTATTCCACCTCTTTGTATTTTCTATTTTCTACAATAATTTTGAAGGGGGTCTCATTCAAAAATTAAAGAAACCGTAAAGCTTATCTTCCACTACAATTACCCTGCGTTCCTTGCTGGGGCAGCTGAGACCAGCAGTGCAGATGACACTGTTAAGGATGCCTCTGGGCACTGAGAGCCTCCCAGCTCCTTGTTGCCGCTTCTCTCCTGCAGCTGCTGCTGCTAAATTCCAAAGGAACCCTTCCTTGGGGACCGTTTTCATCATGAAGTGTTTGCAAAGTGCCTCAGGTGCCTCAAAGATTTTACTTTTTCTTTTTGCTGGCCCCACTGGTAAAATCCTGAAATGTCTGGAGAAAGTGCTCTGTGTGTCCGCCTTCCCGATTCAGCAGGCTCTTGGTTCTTTGCTAAGAGTGAGTGCCCAAGTCCTGTGGGTCAGGTACAGGGGAAACTTCTAGAACTGCAGAGACAAGTTCACTTAAAATGCACGAGTGGGTAGCCAGGTGGAAGCGTTCAGATGGAACCCTCCCCCTGCCCCTGGCTTGGGGTAGGGATTAAGAGGAGGGAGATAAGAAGACTGTAACCTAGTCTCCTAGGAAGAGGGGCCCATTGGCCATCTCACAGGAAACACTGGCAACCCCGGTAAATGGGTGGCTCTCCGTATCTTAGCAACAGGTGCACAGACTCCGCCTCCTAGCAGGCAGAGCTACTTACCGGGCACCCTCCTGGGAGGACCCTGCCTTCTCCAAGTGGCTGCTTTGCTTCTGCCCTGGCTCCTTAGTAAATAGCCCACACTCACTGAGCACAAGCACTGCGTGTAAGCATCTAACTTGTGGGGGGAAGCAGGACCAGAGGCTAGGGTTAGGGTTAGGGTTAGGGTTAGGGTTAGGGTTAGGGTTAGCTGACGGCGCGCAGTCCCCACAGCAGGCGCACACCCACAGGTCACTCCTGGCCGGTCCCGAGGTCCGCACGTGGGAGCGCGAACACTGCCAGGGCAGCCTCTGCGCTGTGCCCTGCTTTTCTAACGGCGGGGAGGGGTCTGAGATTCAAACTGGGAACCCTGAGCGCAGTCCGGACTCCACGTTCCCTCTGCAGGGGGGCCAACTCCCCGTGGCTTCTAGGCAAAGGCTCGAGGCGTCCTGGGCTATTTCCCTCCTCGCTCTCTTCAAGGCTACTCGCCTGCTCCCCAGCCCTGGAAACTCCACATCTCAGATCCTGGGTGCCCTGATCCCCTCCGGCTGCGGGGGCTGAAATCCGCCGGAACCCACCAAGGGACACCCCGGGTTGACGTGGAACCTCGCTTCCACCCTAGAAAGCTGCACCCCTGAGGGGGATCCGCGCCCCCTGGGGGAGGGATCTGCGCCCCTTGTGGGGGATCCGCGCCCCCTGGGGGAGGGATCTGCGCCCCTTGTGGGGGGATCCGCGCCCCACGGGGCAGGGATCTGCGCCCCACGCTGCGCGCTCGGGATAAGATCTGAGAAAGGCGCCCGGGGCCACGGGCGGCCAGGAGGCGGGGAAGGAACAACTTTCCCTCCGCCCTCTCTCTAACCGCAGGCCGGGGCGGGATCCCGGGCGGGCGGGCCGGTGGCTGGCGGGGCGGGAGCGGAGGGCGCCGGGGCCGCCTGCTCGCCCCTGGCCCCGCCAGATGTTGGAAAGCACACAATAGGGGGGACGCAGAGAAACAAAAGGCCATTCGCCAGGGTCTCCGTGGCCTCTGTCCCGCGGTCCCTAAGAAAGGACGTCTAGGGGTGGTGTGGGGGGGGGGAGGGGAGGGGGCCTGTGGGGGGCAGGAAGGTGGGTGCAAGGGGACCCCGAGGAGCTCGGGGTCTCTGTCCTTACTTGCCGCGATCCTGGGGGTGGGCCGTTTACCCTTCCGGGAGGGGTCCCGAGGCGGGGAGGAACCATCCAAGGAAAGTTAAAGGGTTTTCACCTTTTTCCTCGGCAGAGGGAAAGGGAGGTGAGGGATGGCAGACGTTTGACAGTTCCTGGGGTTCGGCGGGATTTGTGGGTCCTTTAAGCAGCCCCCCTCTACCTACCCCCTCCCCAAGAAGCATGGACAGTTCAGGGGGACCTAGCTGACGGCGCGCAGTCCCCCCGGCAGCCCTGCGCCGAGCCTCCCGCTAAACCAAGACGCCCCAGCGCCGCCGGCCCCGCGCGCTTCTGCAAAAGTTTGTCTCCCGCCGCCCGCTCCCTGCACGCACCCTGCGCCCTCTGCGGCTCGCGGGGGGCTCGGACACAGACTTGCACCGCGAAAGGAGAAGGGTTACGGTGAGCTATCTCTTAAAATCCAGGCCCCGGACCCAGGGTGGGGACCGGACAGGACGTGCGAGAAGCCGGCCGGGAGCAGCCGCGGGCAGGCGGGGACGCAGGGTCCGCCACCTCCCGCACCCTTACTTCATCCTCCCGCCCCCTCCTCCCTCGCACCCGCTCCCAGGTGCGCCCAGCACCCTGCCCGCCTGGGCGCGACCGGACGTGAGCGGCCGCGGGCGGCGCCACCTCCTCCCTCGCCGGGAGCGTGTTCTCCCTCTCCGCGGGGTTTTACCTTCTGCCCGGGGCCCTGGCGGCGTCTTGCGGCGGGTGAGCTGCAGCCTGCGAGAGGAGAGGGCGAGCTCGGAGCCAGAGAGGCGCCTCCTGGGGATCCGCGCCGGGTCTCCGGGACCAGCGAGTGCGCCCGGGGCTCCGGCTGCAGGCTCTCTGCTCTCGAGGAGCCCCCAACGCACTGGGCGCGCGGCGGGCGCGCGGGGGCGCCGAGCGGGGACCCCCTGGCGGCCGCTCGCGGAATGGCAGCTCCGCGGGGGAAAGGCCTCAGGTCGCCCTGGGGTCATCTTCTCCGGGGACAGATGCCAGGACTGGACAGCCTTCCGGGGCTCACAGCCTTAAGGAAAGACATGGGCCCTCTGGCCAGGGCGGCGAGGGAGGTATCAGACCGGAAAGGATGCGTTCTGGGTCCAC